GTGTCTGTGTGTATGCCTTCCGATTCTTTATCCCTCTTGCTGTCCCATCTCCACCCCAACTCCGCTCCATCTCTCCCTCCCGTCTTCCTTGTGCCAACTCTCACTGGGCCCACGTCCCTGCCCCTCGCTGCACCCATGCCCCGCCACACGGATCCTGCTGGACACGCACGGCATCAAGACCATCCTGCTCCAGCTGCCAGCCCACTGCTCTGATTCCCCATCCCACTTGCTGACACATGTCCCTCTCCCGTCCCCCACTGCCACTCCTGCGCGCATGCCCTCTCATTGCCGCCCACACCAGATGCTGCTGGACACGCACGGCATCAAGACCATTCTGCTCGAGCTGCCTGCACTGGGGGGCCTCGTGAGTCATGCCATGCCATGCCATGCACTGGGGGGCCTCGTGAGTCATGCCATGCCATGCCATGCACTGGGGGGGCTCGTGAGTCATGCCATGCTATGTGCGCTGCTCCCGCCACTGCACGCACCCGTCTCCCACTCTTGTTGCTGATTCTGTCCACGCATCTCAGTGCCACACAGACCATGCTCCCCCTCTCCCACCACTCCTGTCTCACCCCTTACCCCGCCTCTTCGACCTCTCTGCCTCCTCCCTCACCCCCATGTACCCTCGTGCAGGCGGCCACAGCAGCGTACAGCAAGTATGTGACGCGCGAGATGGGGCGATCAGAGGCGCTGCTCAAGGTGAGATGGGGCGATCAGAGGCGCTGCTCAAGGTGAGATGGGGCGATCAGAGGCGCTGCTCAAGGTGAGATGGGGCGATCAGAGGCGCTGCTCAAGGTGAGATGGGGCGATCAGAGGCGCTGCTCAAGGTGAGATGGGGCGATCAGAGGCGCTGCTCAAGGTGAGATGGGGCAATCAGAGGCGCTGCTCAAGGTGAGATGGGGCGATCAGAGGCGCTGCTCAAGGTGAGATGGGGCGATCAGAGGCGCTGCTCAAGGTGAGATGGGGCGATCAGAGGCACTGCTCAAGGTGAGATGGGGCGATCAGAGGCGCTGCTCAAGGTGAGATGGGGCGATCAGAGGCGCTGCTCAAGGTGAGATGGGGCGATCAGAGGCGCTGCTCAAGGTGAGATGGGGCGATCAGAGGCGCTGCTCAAGGTGAGATGGGGCGATCAGAGGCGTTGCTCAAGGTGAGATGGGGCGATCAGAGGCGCTGCTCAAGGTGAGATGGGGCGATCAGAGGCGCTGCTCAAGGTGAGATGGGGCGATCAGAGGCGCTGCTCAAGGTGAGATGGGGCGATCAGAGGCGCTGCTCAAGGTGAGATGGGGCGATCAGAGGCGCTGCTCAAGGTGAGATGGGGCGATCAGAGGCGCTGCTCAAGGTGAGATGGGGCGATCAGAGGCGCTGCTCAAGGTGAGATGGGGCGATCAGAGGCGCTGCTCAAGGTGAGATGGGGCGATCGGAGGCGCTGCTCAAGGTGAGATGGGGCGATCAGAGGCGCTGCTCAAGGTGAGATGGGGCGATCAGAGGCGCTGCTCAAGGTGAGATGGGGCAATCAGAGGCGCTGCTCAAGGTGAGATGGGGCGATCAGAGGCGCTGCTCAAGGTGAGATGGGGCGATCAGAGGCGCTGCTCAAGGTGAGATGGGGCGATCAGAGGCACTGCTCAAGGTGAGATGGGGCGATCAGAGGCGCTGCTCAAGGTGAGATGGGGCGATCAGAGGCGCTGCTCAAGGTGAGATGGGGCGATCAGAGGCGCTGCTCAAGGTGAGATGGGGCGATCAGAGGCGCTGCTCAAGGTGAGATGGGGCGATCAGAGGCGTTGCTCAAGGTGAGATGGGGCGATCAGAGGCGCTGCTCAAGGTGAGATGGGGCGATCAGAGGCGCTGCTCAAGGTGAGATGGGGCGATCAGAGGCGCTGCTCAAGGTGAGATGGGGCGATCAGAGGCGCTGCTCAAGGTGAGATGGGGCGATCAGAGGCGCTGCTCAAGGTGAGATGGGGCGATCAGAGGCGCTGCTCAAGGTGAGATGGGGCGATCAGAGGCGCTGCTCAAGGTGAGATGGGGCGATCAGAGGCGCTGCTCAAGGTGAGATGGGGATGTCTCATCGCTGCTCCTGCCCTGCCCTCCCTGCCTGCTATGCATCTTTCCGCTGCAATGCTTGGCTTTCTTCCATTGTAGTACTGCCATTGGTCTGCTGGCCATGCTCCCTCTCGCTCACGCCCTGCCTCCATCCCACTCCTGCGCCCCTGTTGGGGGAGCCATCACCCCTCCTCTCCTCCCCCCCACCAGGTGGTGCTAGCGCCACAGGAGAACCTGGTGGACACGTACCGCACGCTGCTGCCCGATGGCTCCGCTGCTGACTTCCTGCGCACACTCGACCTCAAGGTGCGCACACTCGACCTCAAGGTGCGCACACTCGACCTCAATGTGCGCACACTCGACCTCAATGTGCGCACACTCGACCTCAAGGTGCGCACACTCGACCTCAAGGTGCGCACACTCGACCTCCAGGTGCGCACACTCGACGTCAAGGTGCGCACACTCGACCTCAAGGTGCGCACACTCGACCTCAAGGTGCGCACACTCGACCTCAAGGTGCGCACACTCGACCTCAAGGTGCGCACACTCGACCTCAAGGTGCGCACACTCAACCTCATGGTGCGCACACTCGACCTCAAGGTGCGCACACTCGACCTCAAGGTGCGCACACTCGACCTCAAGGTGCGCACACTCGACCTCAAGGTGCGCACACTCGACCTCAAGGTGCGCACACTCGACCTCAGGGTGCGCACACTCGACCTCAAGGTGCGCACACTCGACCTCAAGGTGCGCACACTCGACCTCAAGGTGCGCACACTCGACCTCAAGGTGCGCACACTCGACCTCAAGGTGCGCACACTCGACCTCAAGGTGCGCACACTCGACCTCAAGGTGCGCACACTCGACCTCAAGGTGCGCACACTCGACCTCAAGGTGCGCACACTCGACCTCAAGGTGCGCACACTCGACCTCAGGGTGCGCACACTCGACCTCAAGGTGTGCACACTCGACCTCAAGGTGCGCACACTCGACCTCAAGGTGCGCACACTCGACCTCAAGGTGCGCACACTCGACCTCAAGGTGCGCACACTCGACCTCAAGGTGCGCACACTCGACCTCAGGGTGCGCACACTCCACCTCAAGGTGCGCACACTCGACCTCAGGGTGCGCACACTCGACCTCAAGGTGCGCACACTCGACCTCAGGGTGCCCACACTCGACCTCAAGGTGCGCCGCCCACCCAATGGGTGGCACTCTTGCTGTGTGCCCCGTATTGCACCCTGCGCACACTTGACCTCAAGATATCCATTGGCTTGAAATGAACTGGCACACTACAGTATCGCTGCTTCCCCTCTTACCTTCCCTCCCTTTTCCCACTGTACGCATCGCGCTATCATCACCCCCCACCTCTTCCATCATTGTTTCCTCGTCCACCCTCTGCACGCACGTGCCCACCTGTCTCGCCCACCACAGGGAGTGAAGAAGCCAGAGCAGCAGCCACTGGTAGACGCGCTCACAGCCAAGCTCAGAGCAGCAGCGCCCACTCAGGCCCCGCCCTCCAAGTCCCCCACCTCCTCCGCGGCACCCTCCACCTCCACCGCCTCTCACCCACTGCCTGCCACGGCTGCTGCCGCTCCCCCAGCTGCCACAGCCACCGCTGCTGCCGCTGCAGCAGCAGGCATGCTGACGAGCGCTGCAAGCCGCGAGGCCATGATAGCGCGGGCGGCAGCGCTGGGGCGGGGAGCCATGGCGCAGTCAGCGGCGGCGGCAGCAGCGGTGTCGCAGAACACGGCGCTGAAACGCATCTTTGCCCTCGCTGATTCCTCCACCGCCAGCGCGTCCAAGAAAGACATGTCCTTCCGCTCCCTCTTCAATGCTTAGCTTACACACCTTTGCAGGCATTTCGTTTTGTTGAAAATTTGAGTAGAATCTGGGCGCTATGTTTTGCTTTGTCAAGTTACTACTAAGAGGGGACGGGAACACCTCACCTCACCACTCTTTTCATGGTGTTATGAGTGCAATTGAGTGAGCGAACGAGAAATGCACTATCAAAGCAAAACAGTACGAGCGAAGGCATGATTGAATAATACATACCGTCATCGCCCGGATATAAGACATGTATTTCTTATCTCATACATTAAAAAAATCAGTCTTATAAATGTACAAGAATCCGTTTAGAAGATACTTCCTCGTTATACATTTGCCATTTGCCCCTACACACAAATAGGTGTCTTATAATGAGGCTACCCCGTTTATAAGAGACACCCGTATAATAGACAACCCCTGTCTACTAATCAACACTGTCTTATATCCGGGTGATGACGGTAGCGAACCTACAGCGGTAACGGTAATGCGTGGAATTGGGGTGCGTGACGGGCCTGACGCCGAGGTAGGGAATTGTCGAGGCAAAGGTCTGGAGCAGGCCCTCAGATTCATTTTAGCCTGCACTGATGCATCAGGGCTGTTTAGTAGAAAGGCAGCTTTTGCCCTGATTCATCAGGGCTATACAGGGTAAGATACTCTGATCTGGCAGTGCTATTAAAGACATTATACTGTCATCGCCCGGATAGTAGACAGTGTTGAATAGTAGACAGGGGTTGTCTACTATACGGGTGTCTCTTATAAACAGGCTAGCCTCATTATAAGACACCTATTTGTGTGTACGAGATAAGACATATGTCTTATAACCAGAACAGGGGTTTAGGGGTTCTCTTATAAAGAGGGGGTGTCTTCTAAACGATCATTAGTTCCTTTAGGGGGTACATGCATGTACATCTATGAATATCTACTTCTACCTAGCCCTCCTCAGTCACGGCCTCCTCCCCTGCACTAACAGCAGGGTCACTAACACCCAAGTCTGGCACTCGCCAGGCATGCCTGGCCGTCTCCCTAGGCTCGATCATGCGGTCAGCCTCAGCCGCCGCTTCGCGGTAATTGGGTGTCTCCTGGTACAGCACCTCCAGGCTGGTTGCCACGGCCACCTCCCTCACGCCCTCCGCCTACATCTCCTCCTCCTCCTCTGGCGCCTGCCCAAGCAAGCATGTGTTGTCGCCCGTGGTTCCCCCGAGGCTCATGACCTCGGAGACATTGAGAATGCTCCTGGCGTGCAGGTGAGACATCACCCGGTGGTTCTCCGTCCCGTCCAGCTTGCTTGAAATCCCATAGTGGCGGAACGCGTCAACGATGACCTGGCGGGGGACTTGATCCCACGCCTCCGCGATCCACTGCAACATCACGGGGTGCGGAGGCCTTCACAGGTTCCCTGCGTGTGGGACAGAGGCATGGGTAGCGAGCTGTTAGAGACATGGAAAGAAAACAAAGCAGAGATGCGCGGTTGAAGTTCCTCCCCGGACTGTCGTCATCAAAGAGCACCACGAGGGCACGCTTCAGCTTGGACTGCAAGCGATGATGCAGCGTCACCCGTGATGCTCCACGGGTCGTCATCGTCACCTCCCTCCGCAGCATCCGCATCCGCAATTGCGACCACAGCCGCGGGTGCAACAGCATCGGCATCCGCTTCCGCCTCCGCCTCGTCGTTAGCCTCCGCATCCGCCTCCACCGTCGTCGTCCTCACAAACGCAGCCGCTCGTCGTCAGCCTCTGCACCGTCATCGCCCGTCGCTCCCATTGCATGCGCAGCTGCCTCTGCGTGCTCGCCATCAGCATCGGCACCCTCGTCGTTGTCCAAATCACCAGCTCGCCACTCTTCCACTTCGTCGTCGCTCCCAACCGGCCGATTCCACCATTCGTCCTCGCCGATGTCGGCAGGGGCTACTTCATCCCCCGAAGCGCTATTGTCGTGGCCGTTCTCCGGCCAATCCTCGTCGCTGTCGTCTCCGTGTTCTTCGTCGCCGTCTTTGCTGCCGTGTCCTTCGTCGCCATCGTCCCCGTCACAGCTCGCATGGGAGGCGGCGGTAGATCTTCCCGCCTTGCGCGTATTCTTCACCATGGCTACACGGATGTCATCACTGGGCGAGTTAATTCGCCCGTAGTTATTCACCTGCACGTGAGGGCGAGGTGAGGACGTGCCTGCGGGGACTTTGCTGCTCATGGTTATGGTAAGCCTACCGAGAGCAAAGGTTGAGTTGAGATCTCAACCTCCTTGAGCACAAAATGAAGCTCAAGCCCGACTACCCCCCCCCCCCCCCCCCCCTCCCCGCTTCAGTGCCCCTTTTAAAGGTGCCGAGCCGCTCCTCTATGAGGAATCTCCTCGTAGAGGACAGCCCTCATGCTGCCATCGTGCTGGCAGCAGGGTTCTGGAAGCATCCAAGCGCTGCTGGCAGCAAAACGACGCTGGCAGCATCATTAGATGCTGCCAGCACGGAGGGATGTTGCCAGTAGTGGCAGCTTTGCTGCATCCCTCACGTGGCAAGTGGGGGCGCTGCATGCATCACCACCGAGGTTGCCCTCATTCAAAGGTATAATGGTACAGGGGTGGTTTCTACACACTTTGCAAGTGTTATAGAGTTCTTATATTTTGTTCCATTCATAAGACTTATATGACACCCTAAACCATCCCAAATACAAGATTACCCAAGCATTTTTAGTGTACGAGATAAGACATATATGTCTACTATCCGGGCGATGATGGTATCAAAAGCTCAGGGTTGGAAATGCGACATCATGAAGTGGTGTAGTGACTAAGGAGTTGTCTAGCTTGATTCCTGCTAGCTCCTTCCCGTCGTACCTCGCGGGCTCAAATCTGATGTCGGCGGTAGGTACTCTTCGCCCAGATTTTTTTTTTTTTTCCGCAGTGCATCTCGCTTCAGTGCAAGATTCGACACTATCCTGAATCATCAAGGCTGAACCTCTACCGTTGTACTGAATTGTCAGTATGCTAAATAACCACTATACTGATTTTACAAAACAAAATATTTCCCTAATGCTGCTTTTTCAGGACAGTCGCACAACACCTATCTTGCAATAAGGAAATTCAGGATAAATTATCCTCATAACATAGGGCCTGGTCCGGAGCGCGGGTTACCAACCGAATCGTGAGGTTGGATCGCGGCGTGGACAGTCGCGGGAACAGTAGTCGAGGCGAATGGTAACGGTATACTGTTGGGTGCTGTTGGCGGGAACAATGGTGTTCGCGCTGAGCAGAGACGCAAAGTTAGGAAAATACATTTTCCTTACCCCCCCCCCCCCCCCCCTTCCCCCCCTAGGAGGCCCTCCTTACGAAAGCGCGTGCACATCCTTGAAATTGCGGCTGCGTAGGTACTCAGTGAGGACGGGGTGATTTTGAATCCTGTCCAGGGGGAACCCAGTAGTCTTCAGTGGGCGTGCGATCTTTCCAGCGGATCAGAAATTCATGTGAAGAAATGAGGAATGAATAAACTCGGAAGCAGGTGGGTACAAGTAGGAAAACCTAAAAGTGTTGTACCCCATATTGTCTACCCCACTACACCCTACACAGACTATAGCATACGAGTTTGACACACCCCCATAGGCAAAGTGGGGGAGAACAAGGGGTCACAAGACCAGTCAAGCAAAGCAAAGCAAGCTCAGGGTGGATCACAACGTCACCACACATTCCGAGCACAAGTTCAAGGCCACAAGGCCAGTTTACATGCAAGATCGTATTTAAAGGTAAACAAGCAAGTGCAGGTATAGAAAGATCACAGTACAAGCAAGGTCAAGAAGTGAGCAAGTGAGGCCAAGTAGGCACAAGACTTAGCATCGTACAGAAGCGCTGATGATCACAAGGCGGAAGTGCCTTGGTAAAGATATCAGCAGTGTTGGCCTGAGAGGCCACGTAAGTAAGGCGCAGCTGACCACGCTGCTGCAGTTCACGAGCAAGGAAGTAGCGAAGAGCAATGTGCTTCGTTCTGTGCTCCAGTCTGTGCTCCCGACACAAGGCCAGCATGGCCTTGTTGTCTACGTACAGAACTGGAGGAGAACGAGCCGACTCTCCTAGGTCATTCAGCAGGTAGGTGAGCCAGCGTAGCTCCTGTGCAGCCATGGCCCACGCGTAGATCTTAGCCTCACAGCTGGAGCCGAGAACAGAAGACAAGCGGGTAGACCGCCACGAAATAGAGCCGGAACCAAGGCTGAAGGTGTAACCCTGTGACGACCGCTGAGTAGCCTGGTCGTCAGCCCAAGAAGCGTCTGCGTGACCTGTGAGGACCACTGGACGTCGCCCTCCAAGCACTAGGCCCATGCCCGACGTACTGCACAAGTAGCGCAACACCCTCTTCGATTACACGACTACTAGTGCGAGTAGCACAAACAGGCGACGCAGGACGAGACGCAGGCTCACGACGCTCAGCAAGACCTCCAGTAGGACCAGTGTAGGGAGAAGGAGCAGGTAGGGGGGAGGCGGGCTGTAACTGGGACCGTGACTGGATAGGCTGTGGACACTCTAAGGGAGGAGCAGGACCAGTTGAGGGCGGGAGAACAAGAACTAGCTCAAGGAGCGGAACGAAGTACGGCCGCGGCCGCGCAGCGCCTCCAGAACCAGCACGGACAGCACCTGTACCCTCAGCGGCAGCACCAGCGCCAGCAGCACCTCCAGCTCCAACATCGCCAACTCCAGCACCCTCAAAAGCACCAGCGCCAGCAGCACCTCCAGTGCCAACACCCCCAGCAGCTCCAGCTCCAGCAGGACCAGCAGCACCCCCGTGTAAATTGTCCCGTCCGCATTGGTACGGGCAGGGTGTGCAGATGCGGAGTATTGAACTCCAATGCCTGGGTCAGAGTTTAGGTACTTCACCACACGCTCAGCTGCATCCACCTGCTCCTCTGATGGATTCTGCACCACCCTTGCCAGCTGCCCAACAGAGAAAGAGGTGCCACGCCTCGTGTAAACCGCTGCATTTAAGAGGCTACCCACGAAGGACTGAAATTGCTGCTGCTCCTCGGCTTCAATCCCTTCATCCTCTGCTTGAATTTTGCTGGCAGGGGAGTTGCAACCTTGCGCTCATTCTCAATTACGTACTTCTCCCCCAGCTCCTTGATGAACTTCTCCTGGTGCAACTTCAACCACCTGTGATCTGGATCCCTCTTCACGTGCATCCCGAGGTAGTACTTTACCTCCCCAAGGTTCTTGCACTTGAAGTTTTCCATCAGCTGTTGCTGCACATTCTGGATCTCCTTGATGCTGCTGCTAAAGAGAAGAATGTCGTATTCAAGAAACAGCACCAGCTTCTCCCCCTCCCTTCTGAGAAATGGGCTCTCATCACAGCTGCTGGTCCTGAATCCCATCTCCTCTAAAACAGCTGCCAACTTCTGGTACCAGCACCGTGGCGCCTGCTTCAAGCCGTAGATGGACTTTTTCAGCTTGCACACCCTGCTCGTACCATCCTCCTACCCAGGTGGCATCTGCCAACAAGAGACGGAGGGTAGGGGGTTGGGTAGTGGGAGCAAAGATCTCATTGAAGTCTTGCTTCTCCTTCTGCATAAACCCCTTAGCCACCAGCCTACTTTTGTAGATGGTGACCTGTCCCTTGTCATCGGTCTTGATCCTTAGAACCCACTTGCACTGTACCGCTTTTTCCCATCGGGCAGCACCACCAGATCCCATGTCCCATTCTCTAGCAGGCTCTGGTACTCACCATCCCTAGAAACCAGCCATTCTCCCTATATGGTCCAGCTAATGCCTCCTCCATGCTAGCTGGTTCCTCTGGTGCAGGGGCAAGAAAACAGTAGGCAGGTTCATCCTCCTCATCCGGGTCATAGCCATGCGGTAGAATCAGGAATGCCTCCTCTGTCCCAAACTGCTGCTCTACTACATCAGCTCTTGCACTCAACTTCTTAGTAGCCATACGGGTACATCTTGGCCTGGAGATGGGTGTCTCCCATCCCCTCATAACAACACCCTTCAGCTTGTTAATTTTCCCCGACTGCTGCTTTCTTCCCTTGGATCCAGCAGCTCCACTAGTGCTACCGCTAGTCTCCACACCATTTCCTCCACCAGCAGGTGCCTCCTGCACCTTCTCTCCATCACCACCCTCTGCAGCTGCCTCCTCTGCCTTCTCCTACACACTAGGAGCCAGGTCCCGCTGCATGGTGATCTGCTCCATCGGCTGGGACACCCTGGCCTCCGGCTGTTTCTCCCACCTCCCATACATCATGCCCTCAACAAACTTCACATCCCTGCTGTCAAACAACACACCCTTGGAAGGTTCCCACAGGAGCCATTCCTTGCTCTCAGTAGCCAGCCCCAAATGCACACACCATATTGCACTCGCCCCCAACTTACTGCGGTAGGTCTTGGGGACGTGGGCGACTACTATACAACCGAACACCCTCAGCATGTCCACCGGCGGCTTCCTCCCAAGCTACCTCTCCAACGGCACCCACGAGTCATCACCAATCTTAGTGAGGACCCTGTTCCTGGCCACGGTAGCGTGTTGGACAGCATGGGGCCACATCAAGTTGCCCAGCCCAGATTCTATGAGCAGTGCCATAGCTGTCTCCAGAATTGTCCGGTTCGCCTGTTCTGCTACACGGCTAGATTGTGGGGTATAAGCCGTAGTCAGTTCCCTCTGGATGCCCTGCTTCTTGAGCCAGGCCGTCATCTCAGCTCCAAGGAACTCACCACCTCGATCTGTCCTAATCTGCTTCACCACACACACTGCTTGCTTCTACATGAATGGCAGCCAATCTTCCTGTATCGTAAAGGCGCCGTCGTCCTTCTGCTTCAGCGGATATGCCCACATAAGCCTGCTCCAATCGTCCACTATGGTCAGAAAGTACCGCTCCCCTTTGTGCCCCTAAACCGGCAGCGGCCCCACCAAGTCCATGTGGACCAACTCTAAAAGCTTCTTGCTCCTGCCAGTCACACTATGGAAGGGGAAACGGGTGAATTTGGATAGCAAGCATATTTCACAGTTGTCATCACGTGACTGGCCATTCAGCTTCAGACTCTTGACCACCCCATCCTTCTCCGGCTGCTTCAACAAAGGCATTGCTACATGCCTCAAGCGTCGGTGTGCCGTTGCCCAATCCGTCTCCCCAGATCTGGCCGACACTTTTACACCAACCCTTTCAACGGCGTTGCACTTCCCCTGGGATGCAGACCCCTCTCCAGCCTGCCCCTCATTGTGCCAC